TCAGCAGGACAAAGTAATGCTGCTTTATACTTCATGAGTTTTTAACAAAAGAAAAAGGAAAAAAAATTACCGACAAACTCTGTTCTTTGCAAAGAGGACGTAATAAAGGATGGAAGTCTCTGCTGATCTTTGTCCCTCGTTGGTGAGAGAGAATCTAGTTGTATGGAGTATTGCAGGGTCAATGTGGAAGTGTTCTGTATCTGATGACATTAATTTACATGACAGCATTTTCATTAAGAAAATTATCCTCAAGCCTGTAGGATCCATAGTTTGTGAACTGCCTGAATTTATTTTGCTGCATTACTGCACTACTGTGTACCCAGATGCCACCGAAAGCATGTGTTATTGCCACCCATAACTGCCCCCAACAGGGACCAGGCTCCTTTTAAGAGTCTTACAGCAAGTGATGTATTTTGGTTATTGACATACTTAGACAAAATCTGAGAGGAGAAAAATTATGCCTAGATCTTGGCCTGTTTCTGAGTTTCTGGGAATTTGCAGTATATGAATGAGTGAATCAGTTAAACGTCCCTAGACTATACCACAGCAGACCCTCATGTGCTCTTCGTAGGACGAACTTTGCATTTCACACATGTACCTATGTCACTGCTTTGTGTGGACACAGAGCAGCCTCAATTGTGATAGCAGTAATAGGCAGAATAAAGAGGGCAAATCTTTCTAACATTGGTAAAAGAAAAGCCATTTCTGACTTCAAATCTCTCTGCATACTGATCTACAGAGAAAAATCACACAGGCCATTTCTTGTTTTCTTTTATAGAAGCTACTGGATCTCTGTTGGTTTTGTATAGGCTGCAGGCGGACAGAAGCAGCTGACAAGACCCTCTCCGCTCAGGCATTTGTTACCTTTGGCCTGAAACTGTCTCAGCGTCAAATCACTCTGCCATACATGCTTTTAAAGCTCTGTTGTCTAGTTTGCCACTCCGCCTGACCTTCTGCCAGACTAGAAACTACAGAACTCCTCTTCCTCCTTACAAAAATTGCTGATGTGCTTTCCAGTTCAGCACAGAGGGATTTACCTTGAACGTGGAAGTCACCTTCTCTCTGGCTATGACATATCCCATATTGAGTACTTCTTCCACAGAGCAAACAATTGATGGCAACACCCCGTGACCAGTGATACTTAGGGTTAGATTGGTTTTTGCCGCCTGGATGTCCAGCTTTTCAAAAAACTGACAAAAGAATGACTGTGTTAGCCCATTTGCTGAAGGACAACCCCCCTCAATTGCCCCACTCCCCCCCGCCAATGGCTATTACTATTGAACTTCTGGATTTAGTGCACAGACAAAGATAAAATGTTGGGAGGAGCTACGCACAGGCAACAAAGTTTGTATTATTATACAGCCTCATCCCGGTCAGTAATATGTGTACATGACACAGCCCGTTACACCTCTCCATCTCTCCTCTTTTCTCCCATTACCATTGTATCTCTTACTCACCCATTTATTCTCATTTGGACAAAAAGAGATGAGGAAGGTTTTACTTTCACCTGGCTCAAGCATTCCAACTGGTCTGACCAACAGGAAGGGACCACTGGGATTCAGAACTGAGAATCCTAGCTAAAATAGTACAACTCAAGGAAAAGAGTTTATATGCAGAGATTGGGGAAAAAAAATTAAGAACAGATTCTAAGTATTGTTCAGACAAAAGATGTAAAAATGAACCATCTATAAGCTTTTTCAGAGATCAATAACTAAGAGAAAAGAAGAACTATTTTTTTTTTCCCCCCACAGAATTCAAAGAGCTGCAAGATCTTTTGCCAGTTAATAAGATCTTCATGTAACTCCATTTCCAGATTTTGCCTAGAATGGGTAATTAACACCCGAACATCCAGGACATGCCTTCTCCTATTTTCTCCCACACAGCTTAACAAGCCAGTATAGCAGCCCCTTCTTACAAGGCATTCAGAAATTCAGAGAAGCATGCAAAACAACTGCAAAAATTCAGTTGTTGGTTCTGTTTCACATGTACATAATACTATACTGAAACTAGCTTTGTCATCAGTACCTTGCACTCTTTAGAAAGTGGTTAAACACTTCTCAAGTTTGGTTCTATGCAGAATTATTTCCAGTTAACAAGGGGGAATGGAATTAGCTTTCTAGTAGGTCACTTCGGCTTGTCCAATATATTCTTCACATCACTTCCTGCCTCACTCATGTGAGTGTATGGGCTGAAATCTGCTACCTCCTCTGTGCTTCAGTGTCAAACAACAGTTCCCACAGATAAAGACTCAAACTAAACAGAAGCTGAAAGGCACACTAACTTACATGTTCCAGACAAGGATACTGCCAGCTTCTCTGGGGAGAGATTTTGTATTGTAATGTGCTTCATCATTCTGTGGCCTAACATGAATGAAAACATTTCAAAAAGTGATGATGCTCACTCATGCGCTACCATTCCTTCTTTTTCACTCATGCTTCTACATGAGCCAAACATTCATTCCCTTCCTATGGCTACATTAGTCATAGCTCGCCAAAATACTTTCAAATTTGGATAGTCACTTGTAGAGCTCCCAATTCCATGTTTTGGGATTGAGTCTGCGTTTTACATGCCTTGGCTGGCCAGGTAGGCTCCTAATTTTCCACCTAAGTACTTATTACAGGGCTAATTTCTATATTGACTTTTGAAAGTGAACTAAACAATGTAAAAGAAAACACAAAACTATGCTCAGAAGAAATTAATGTCACACAGAAAAAAAAAATCAAAACTTGAATTCCAATTTCATACCTACTGCAACATCACCAAAATTTACTGTGTTTCTTCCATTATCTGAAGTGACCACAACAGATGGTGCTACGGCTGGACAGTGCAACTCCAAATACAAGGTGTTGTAAGGGCTACAGAGATAGTAAAAAGATATTTGCTCTTGGATCATACTGAAATAAAAACTATTGTCAGAAATCGGTTCTTATTCTGTTCCTATCACAGGATATCATTAAATTGGTATTACAAAACAATATATAATTTTTGGTGGCTGACTTCTTTGTGTATGCCTAAGCAGAAACATGAACTACATCTGGCGCTAATTTTTTGTACAATTATTCCTTAAACTGCTTTGATATTCATGTGTTTGATTCTTAACCAACTAGCGGGTTGTAAGCATGAGTTTTTACCACTGACCTATGAAGTAATCAAGATCAGAAAACAAATTTCCTCCCCAAATGAATGAACAGGCCCACTGTTTCCCCCTCAAATTTATGAACTATCATGAATTGCACATATCTAATTGCAAATTACCTGCAGCTTAGGTTTTCAGAGCCTTTCTTTTCGTCGATATGTCCGCTTGCAACAAAGCATGGTATGATGTATTTTTCAAATCTCCCACTGAAATTCCTCATCAGAAAAGCCTGGGCTGCCATATAAGCATCAGAACTAGAAAATCCAGGAATAAGAATCATTTTAGTAAGTGAGAGACCACGGGGGGGGGGCGGGCAGAAATCAAATAGATATCTACTCAGCTATTTGTGTTTACTGTTTCTTAGTCAGATGATCAAAATTGAATATAACAGTGAAACTAAGCAACTGTCTTGATGCACAATAATGGACCCACCCTACTAGGTGGGTATAAGAAAGAAATAACCCTACTAAGAAAGAATTTAAAAATTATAATTAATGGACTGCGATGAATAGGGGATTTTAGTCAAAAATATTTAACAACCAATACAGCCAAATGCCTGGTGTTTAAGCATGTATTTACTCCCAAACACTTCTGAATTCCCCAGATTAGGCAGAAGTGTGGTTCTAAAAAGTTGAATTATATGCTAAAACAAGGACCTCAAGTACCAGATTTTGCATCGAAGTATACAAATTTCTAGATTGCTCATGCTATCAATGTTAATTCTCACTGAGGTACACATATTGTAAAATGACTATTTAAAACACACATTTTACAGCGTCATTATATTTCCAGGACTGACGATGACCATGACTAATATGATGGACTATGTAAGCCCTCAAAAAAAAAAAATTTAATCCAAACCCATGGACCCGTGGATACGGGCCATCAGATGATTTCCATCTGGGTTGAATGTATTCATCTCTGTTAGACCTACTCAGAAAAGGTGTATTAGTAGTAGTTTCTTTTGGTAACTAAGTTCAGCTTTCTAGGTGCTCTTTAAAATAATACCCGTGTTGGTTCAGTGGAATTTACCCATACAGCCACATCTCATGCTTTCTGATATATTCTTTGAAGTCTTCAATCCCTCTGATGCATAAAGGAATTCTTTGCCTTACATGAGAGGGTACAGCTGTGTGGCTTAAAAGCAGTGCTAATTTTGGAAACAGCCTTTCAACATAGCTAAAGCTCTTTCTTCTCTACAGTTTGCTTTCTTGTCTACCTATAGGTTTTAGTACATTTATTAAACTACTTATAAACAGAATGTTTTCTATGTAGTACAAGATGCTTTTGCTGACTTACTCAGGCTTTAACTCTTCGGATTTTGTTTGTTCAGAACTATATAGAGAAGTTTGGCATTTACTGCCTCCATCCCTTACAAGCTGTCTGGAAGACTGCTGTCTGGTAATGGAAACGCTTAATTTCTTTCCCTCTCTCTTTTCATCTTTCTTCCTTTTCTGCAAATACACAAAGACATTATACGCTGAGGGTGATCACTGGTAATCCAATCAAGACATCAATTTACAAATACACAGTCCCTGTCCCGAGAATACAGAGGTGATAGGAGTGCATGAAACAAGGTAACAGCAGTAGGATTATGGTAACGAGCCATAGACAGAGTAGTTATTACATATATTTCTAATACTGTAAAATTAAGTTGACATGGACATATTTTACCTCATCTTAAAAAAAGAGTTCCCCTATTGGAGCAGATAAGTGAAAGACGGTGTCTTTCATGGGAATTTTACCTATTTATCTCATAATTAAAGACAACCATAGGTGCTCACATAAATTAACTAACACACAGCATTGCATATAAAGTCCATGTATGCTGTAAATCTGCAAGAAGTGTAGAAACTTTTTTTTTTAAAGAGTATTTGTAGCTAGTGTTTGCAAGAAAATCCTCTAGGAATGCTTTTGAAATTGTTAGAATGAAATTAAATTATTACTCAGTGAACAGACTACACGTTTAGTGCAACAGTACAGTCATACACTTGTCCTTTACAGGCAAGTCTTACATGGATCATGAGTTTGGGCATCATTAATATGCAAATAATTTTGTGATAAAAATATCATCCAGAGAAAGAAATATCTGGAAGTAACAGACCAACAGCATATGCTAGTTCTTAGCATTCCTTACTTGTATTTCTGCCCCTGCCGCAGCTGCTCTGCAAAGCCTCCGAATTGCCTCTTCTCTGATTAGCTGATCTGACAATGTTGGTCTGAAGGACACTTGAATCAAGCTTTTCTGGGAGCATGAGAGCATACACAAGAATGATAGGCAAAATTCAGCCTTCCTACATGTGTTATACCTACAAAGCTCAATAGCAGCATATACATGACAGCAAAAAATTAACAAATAAAACAATTTTTTTCCAAGTGAATAAGGTGATCCTAAGCATAAGGTCACTTGCAGCTGTGTTACAGTGGGCTAGTTTTACATGACCAATATTTTTGATATTTAAACGTTCTTCAAATAAATCATAAATAATGACAACACTGGGGAAAGAACATCCAGAGCGAAAACTCCCATGAAACATTAGCCATATTTGATGGTTAAGCCCTGATGTCTGATTTAAAACACTATTTCAAACAATACAAAATATCCCAGCTATTCTAATAATAAGTTATGTTTCAATTACAAGTGACAGCATTTGTAGGGATGTAGATGATCAAACGACTTGGCAGAACACTTGATGTTTAAAGAGAATTTACCTTCCCAGGCAACACGGTTCCAACAGAAGGTGTAATTGTCACTGGACAGTCTCCTGGCACACAGAATTCAAATGAAGTGGGTCCAACAGGGGCAACTTCCCCATTGCCAATTCTTGGGACAGCATGAGTAAAGTGGTCGACACTCACATGGGAATTCATCACATATAGTGTTGCTGTAGACACACCATTTAAAGCTGTGGCAGCAAACTGAACTAAGGAATGAGACAATTCAAGAGGTGGGTGGACTCCAACTGCTTTGCATGACAGCTTGAATTGTCTAAAAATAAACACATGATGAATTGTCTCAGCATAAAATAGTCTTTTAATCAGCCCAGAAAATAGGGAACTAATCCTGTAGTCCCTGTTTAAGCAGAATTTCAAGCTTGCAATGGGAATTTTGCCTAAAGACGAACAATAATACTATCTATTTTTAATGCACAATTGGCTAGAGTCCCTACTTGAATTCTTCCTCTGTGAACTTCTGGAAATATATCCAGTCACATCAAAGTTTATGCCATCATTATTTTAGTAGCATTAGCTTAATAGTATAAATCATTAAAAAAAAAAAAAATCCTTCCATAATTCTGCTGAAAAAGCAAGCAGAACATTGCAGGTTAAGACGACCTGGGGCAAACTTGCAGCTTGGATATGTGACAAGGATAAACTTCAGGTGGGATAGGAAATGTCATCTCAGTAAAGACAGACACGTAAATGAAGGATGAAACTAACAGGCATTGAGCAACTCTTGACAACAGGAGAATTCCTACCTGCCTCACATTTTTATCCTAGCCTTACCTCTTCAAAGTAGGCAGGGATTTACTTTCTAAACTAGATTAACAGTGGAAATCCAGTGTGATTTACACTTCTAGATTACCTACTAATCAATCAGTTTCTTAACATACCTATTCATCTCTGACTTGCAGGTTATTTCAAAGCTGTACTCTTTTGCCTTGTTAGCTTTAAAGATTATGTCCAATGTCAGGCTTTCAAGGGGAAGAAGAATTCCAAATCCATCATTGGGTTGAACTTCAACAAACTTCAAAATGGCAGGATAAGAAATTGTTTTTATTAAAACAAGAAATTATTAATTAAATGATCAAATTATTAAATAAAGACAAGACACTACTGGCAAGATAAGAAGATTTTGTTATTAAATGTACAGATGTCAGGAAAACAGAAACCTTCTTGTGAGAAGCTTTCATTTGAGTTAGTGACTAGCATCTGACTGACGTGCAGATTTCTCATCTCAAAGTAACCTGAAAGGCAATAAATCCATTAACCCAGACTTCAGCAGAATCTCTTCCCCAGCTTCTTACCATCTATGGTCATCACCTTCCTCTTTTATTTACTCTTCATAAACAACTGAATGAAATGTGATAAAAATCTCAGCAGTTCCCCCTGCATCTTTGAAGAGCTGATTGCTGTATGGTGTGCAGATACCATAGTGACAGGTACCAGTTTAATATCTACAAATGTATATATATGTTTGTGTTTATGAGTTGATGATGATTCAAGAATGTCTCCCCATCACATTTTAAGCTAATCATGAAACAAATGCTGTGAAGTAAAGCTTTAACGAAGCTGAAGATTCCAATTTCTTTCAGCTAACTCCTTGATTGCAGTCCCTAAAGCAGCAGAGAAAGGGAGAACGCCTAATTAAATGTCAGGTTCCTCTACCTCCGATTCCAATATGCCAAACCATTTCACACTGTGATCATCATGCTATTATGAATTTTGAACAGCTAACTTTTTGCAAAAAAGAAAAAATACTTCAGTAGACCTAGCCCATGTGAAATTGGCAGCTCCTGTGATTAATTTAGCTTCCACATCAAGTTACAGTCAGTCAGAAAACACCTAGGCATGGTTGAGGCCATGATTCCCAATAAGACATGGCCATCCTGCTTTAAAGACAAAGTGTTTAGGTATCTGGATGCAAACTGTGTGATATTCTTCAGCCTCAAGGCCAAAGCAACATCCCTAAGCCTGTTTTATTTAGTAGTATAAGCAACCCGTGAGTCTGAAAGAAAAGTGCACCAGGTATTCTGTTAGTAGATTTCTTGGTGTAAAAAATAAGTATTCTAATAGGAGAAAGTTAGCCTAGTAATGTTATGTAGGTGAGAATAATAAAATCTCCTCAAAGATGTTTATACTGCTTGGAAAATGCTTAGGGTATAAGATGAAACTTACACAAACCAGTACCAGAACTAATCTGCGTGTTTCCACAGTGCTTCATGCAGAATTATTTCCATGGCTTTGCAAGAAACAGTCATGATTTATTTACACTCACATGTTTTCATAAGAATTAAATATATTTTTATACAAGAAGATGTGTGTGGTGGATAACTACTTACTTCTGGAAGTCCCACAAATCCAAACTCTTGTGGCAAAATGGATTTGTTTGTAAGCACGATGTTTGCCTGCACAGCTTCATAGATTGTGCAATATCCAAAATTGATTTGTGCTGGACTGATTTCCAAATCAGAAGTAGTAACAATTGCATGGACAGTAAAATTAACTTTTTTAGCCTGAAACAAATGCGAGAGCACAGGATAAAATCCTCCATCCGTAGCATTATAAGGACAGGATTTAAGTAAAATGTTATCCAAAAAGATAACTGCAAAAAAGTTATCCTACTCTTTTCCTTGACAATAACATAAGTAAAGATAACATATTTATCTTGAACTTCAGCCTCATTGTTCTCCACAAATAAGCAATAGGAAATGTGTCTGACAAGCAAAATTTTGAAAAAAAACCCAACCTGTATGTAAATTCCGTATGTTAGAATGGGATCACACCTGCATGTCCAGGAAATGTAAACTCTAAGAGTGTGCTACATCTGCAGTACAGATCAGTAAAAAAAAAAAGATTGTGCCATGGTATCCGATAACTTTCTAGTACAAAATGAACTACTAGGGAATAGATGAGCACTGACTAGAAAGGATTTAATTTTCTGTATTGTAAACAAGCTGACAAGAAGAAACTATCAAATCTATATCGTCACTTTAAGCACCTTTTACTATTATCATAGGATTTCAACTAGTAAAGAAGTAATCCAAGATCAGGTATCATTAAGTGAACGTTCACCAAAATAGTTTACATCTATTTTCAGTCTGATAACGAGCACAACAAAATCACTAACCTTATCCACAATCCGTATTGCCACTGGAACTTCCAGGACTCTTGTCTCTTCATTAAAATAACTCCCTGCATCTTCAGGAAGAGAATGCCTAAAAATCAAAAAGTACATTCAGTTTCATAAAAATATTTTTACTATTTTCTAGCTAAGGGGAATAATAAATTTTTGATGGATGTATTTCTGAACTAAAAAACCCAAAACAAACCTGTTGCTTAAGGCCTAAAATTTTTATTATTCACAGCTTTTAATCTTAACACAGTATTTGTGCTCAAACAGGAGTATTCACATCTATAATTGGTTAAGCGTCAACTCCAATGCTTCAGTGAAGTCTAGTCTAACTAAAATCTTGTATGCAAGGTATATGCAAATATTAGGGAAAATGGTGGAAGAATGGTGGAAGAAAATACCAATGAAAAATTAGTGACCTATGAATTTCCACCTCTGACCAAGAAAAAGAAGATGCAGTCAGATCAGAAATATTATGCACTTGTCACAGATTTCCTACAGAAGGGCATACCTCCAGACAATCTCCTCTCAGGAGGTATGCATGGGTTGCAAGAGTACCTAGCACCGAAGTTAGAATAGTTGAACTTGTACGTTAATGTTGCATTTTTCGTTTTTTAAAGACAGGATTTTGGACACACAGAAGTTTAAGGGAGTTATTCACAGAGGTCTGCATCCCTTCTTAAAATGCCATCCAGTCATTTAATATTCTGAAAAATTTAAAGCGTACTTTATAATCAGAATATAAGCCTTCTGCATCTTTGCTGCAACCACAGCACATAACCAACTGCACCTAGGCAAGCGTTTCCTTTTGACACTGATGTTAATTACCAGCCAGTTTGAGGCAGAACCAATTGTACCACAAAGCACAGAGACATAAATGAAGTGAAACAAACCTGGCGAGCAAGTGTCTGATTATATACCACGTTAGTAATGTGTAAGAAATATGAGGGTTTTCTGTAGCTGAAGCATCTTGCTATCATAAGCTCTATTTCAGAGCTTCAAGCCAAGACAATACAAAAGCTCTAGCATTTTTAGCCCTGCTGGTCTATTTATAGTGTCTTACAGCATCAGAATGAATTGCTTCCTGTTCTTAGGTCTCTACAATGATAATGTTCCTACTACTACTACTGGAATTACATGCAATTTTTTAATGTATTGTTAAAGAATAGTTAATGAATAAATAGCACCCACTCAATCACCATGGTGATCTGAAATCTTGCTGGCTGTTATTTTGCAAGTCTGAAATGTGACTTTAGAAGGTGATCTTTAAAGGTATTGCTAAGTTGTTTAAAGATAGGAACTGTAGTTAAATACAAAGTAGGAATAAAGCATCAGCTTTCACTTTGTCACAGGACGGCAGAATAGCAGAAGAAATTAATGTATTACAAAATAATTGAGAGGGAAAAAATCAATTGCAACTGCACATACAGTGATGGACTCTAAATTAGCTGTTATGCCTTGGGGAAAAGATACTGAAATCCTTCCGATAGTTCTCTGAAAATGGCATCTTCATGCTTAAAAGCAAGGAAAGAGAAGCATAAGAGACAAATCAGATTTAGACTGCCAGTATCTGTAGACCTAGTGCCAAATGCAGAAAAACTAAAAAGATGTGGTATTTGGGAACTCCGAAAGTCAGCAGATTAGAGAACTTGCCTTCAAATAAACAGAAAATGTCTGCTTCAAACACCCAGAAAATTATGAGTATTGTAACATCTGACCAAGCATTTCAGTGTACACAAAATACTCAGGAGAGCTTCCCAAGCCTTCAGTCATCTATCTGTTCACTCAGTATCACTGAATGACTGTTTCTTTTTACTTTTGTATTACTTACAATAAAGCTACTCTTTCTTCTGAGAAAACCAAGCTTGTAATACTAAGTCAGTGAGGAGGCATTACAGAAATGTGTCACTAGCTCAGTACTTCACACCAGCTTGTAGCAAGCTCATCTTTCTCTGTCATACATGCACTCCCCATGTGTTAGGTCTTTTAAAACCGATCTGTATACTGAAACAGCCAGATACTTATTTCGTGTGTCAGAAATGCCTTAATCTCATCAAATATCCTTTCTGAAGCTTGCCCATTTTTCAAAGGAAGATTAATGTCCTAAATCCAAGCTATGCTTCTATCCACTCAGAAAGTGTAACAGTGCTTTACAGCATCTGAAGTTTAGGAACTGAAAAATGTAATAATAATGGTTACTGTTGTTGTCATTTGATAGGATTTGAGATGTTGGAAGAACTGTAAATACTTTTAGTTCTTTGAATACTAACCTGGAAAAAATTTCAAAATAAGTGAATAGACTCTCAATTTAGAATCCAGAGATGCTGGGCACATCAGTGAAGATCCAAATATACTTACATCAATGCAACTAGATAACGTATATAAAAAAAGCCGCAGGTTTGCAGCAGCAATCAGTGCAGAAGCTGCCAAAGTAATTGGCTGTACACCAGAATTAAGATCTATATAATTTAATTTATATTTCAAAATGAATGTCCTGCTAAATTCTTTAGGAGGGCAATGATAGGGTAAATAAAATTAACAGTGGTCAACAGGAACTCTTGTATTTAAATTTTGAAAAACTAGAATTCTTTCTTTCCTATAAGTGAGTTACATTTCTATATGCAGATGTATCATGAAACGGGGAAGCGAAACTTGCCGCAACAAGGTTTTTAGCATCTTACAAGATGTCATATAAAATGCCACATGAAATTCAAGATCAATACATTCATATTTTGGAGAAGAATGTACATGGGTAGGAAAGAGATGAACAGGAAGCCCAACCATTCTTACCTTAATTAGCAAGCACAGGAGTTCTTGTCCAGAAATTATTTAATCAGTGATGCATGAAGTAGCCACCTGCCTAGATAACCTCTCTCTTGTATAAGAATAGAATAGCTTCCCCACAGAAATGGGAGCAGCCTACCAGGACTGCAACTGCTAAGATTTTCACACTACTGCTGTCACCACAGGAAAAGCATTTCCTCACAGGTAGGTGATCCAAGTTAATTTCCTCCTTGAGCATCTGGCAACTTTTACAGGAGAGAGAGGAGGGAGACCAGGACTGCAGTGACACAGCAGTGTGAAGTCCAGCCTGCTACAGCATGAAGGAAGAAAAACTTTGACCTGCTCAGATTTTCGACTGACAGCCTCCTACAGATATTGTCTTAAATACTGAAAAGTTTAATGTTGTTAGGTTACCTGGGCAGAAACTTCAGTTGCACACTGAAGGATGACTGAGCTTGAATGTAACCTGTTTTTGGAAGCAGCTCCATGTGCTTACTCAATTCTTTGCATACTTCAAACTTCAAACGCAGGGTAGCTTTTGCTCTGCAAATAGATCAGACATGCTTAGGTGGCTTTGAAGCTACCTGTACTGCCACCTCAGCAACATTTGCTCTTGCAGTTTGATGTTCCCCCTGCACCCACCCTTGTATCTCTACTCTACATTACAACTATTCCAAACATCCTTTGAAAATGATGGGCATGTAAAACTGCTGCAGCAAAATCACACAGTTGTATTCTCTTTTAAGATAAGTACAGAAAACAAGATTTTGGAAGTACTGTAAGTAAACCCAGCTGTATTTCAAACAATGTACATAGCTGATTGAAATACAATTATCAAAGTGCAGCACAGTGGTAAGTCAGGTCAGGGGAAAGTCAAAGCCAAATTATTGTGAAACACCAGCTCATTATTTGCTCCTAACATACATTCGCTTTAGCTGAATCAACAGGAATGACTCAAGATGAAAAAGGAGTGAATTAAATAGTTGTGAATTCACAGATCTCTTGTAACTTCTCCTCTAACAGCAGGGACTCTACAGGGCTAGAAGTCACAGTGTGGCTAAGCTGGTAGCACCAGTTCCTCTGCTAGAACTTGTGATCAATTTGCCCTATGAATGGCATACTGGAAGCCAGGAAACATCTCCCTGTTTACTGAATTCTGGTCATATTATAATACAGTGATAGCCACAAACCATACCCTGCTTTGGAATTTTATGCCTATGTGCAAAATTGCCAAGCAATTTACAAATATTTCAGCTTGTCATTTTCCTTCTCTTGGACTGGTTTACAAGCTGTCAGTCCAGATGGTCTGCTCTAAATCAACAGCTATAGCATGTGGCACTGGGAGCCTGGAATGATTTCTGACTGTTGACAATCTAAGAGAACTATATACTACTTCATTAAATCAGTGTAGATTATAACCTGCCAAAGAAATTACTTTTCAAAGTGATTTATATTGGACAGGATTCTGCTAAGACACTTTCACCCTTCATGCTGCTTATTTATGCTTCCTGATGACTGTACTCTACATGACCAGGGAAAAAAACCCCAACAACCAACCCATAAAAAACTCCAAACCAAAACCAAAACCAGTATTAACTAACATATTGCAATTCTACAGAGCTTGCTGGGGCACTTAAGTGCCAGGAGTTACCTAACTAGAAAACTTCATCTTCTACTTATGCTATAGACTACAATGTCATAGATTGCAGCAGCAATAAGATACGTTCTTTCTGCTCTGTCAGATGTTTGTGGTACTGGTGGTGAATGAAAGGACACTGTAACACATCATCTCCCTCAAGTCTGGGTTAGATTTTGCCCTGAAAATCTAAAGAATTCTCTCTCTACAAATCTTAGGTATTTTTTATTTTACTTTATTTTCAATAATTACTTAGGAATTGGAGCAGAAACTTGTAAGAATATTCCTGTGTAGTAGGATTATTTAAGTATCTAATTAACATTTAAAGAATCTATGTTCTAGAAGTTATACTAAATAAGATTTCACATCTACTGCATATGAACTTTAGTTCTCACTAGCTAAGGCACTTCAGCAGTTGTCAGACAAGCAGTCTTTTCAGCTGCGCTATGGTAACCTTGTCTTTGGTTTCCTTCAGTGAACGGTCGCTATGAGCGTTAGTTCACAGACAACACTGCAGTAACTCTTGAGCTGATACACAGTTCACATGTAAAGCTGTTGTAACAAATTATTATATTTCTTTGTACATGACAGCAGTTTGGACACTTCTTTGCTAGCCTGATAATTGCCCTTGGTTCTGGATCCTTTGTGCATATTTCTAGATCACCTTTCCCCAGTTTTTCACTAGTGCAATTAAAATACCGCTATGGACTAGTCTAACCTCTGAAATAGTTTTTGACTGAGAGTAATTTACAGCTATTTTCAGTAGCTTAAATTAATTCTGTTTGAGAAGTGGTTTGACATGTACCACATAACAACAATGAGGAATCCTCTTTCTGATACATACTACAGGAACATTTCAATAGCTACTGAAGGAAGAAACTTCTCAGGCACCACATCTAACTGAATGATGAAATCGTCTCAACTTTTTATCCTGCAAAAGTAGATAATGATATTCCTACACATGAAATACAGTCATTTCGGCTCAAATTCAACGTATAACAAAGACAATTTTTCCTGACTATGGAGAACTGGGTGATAAATCAAGGACTTGATTTGCCAAGGTACTAAGGACAGTATAGCACATATTAAGTGCTCTTAATTTAGTGAAACTTGGTGAAGGAGCAGCAAGATTTTTCCCTCAATTAAGAAGTTTTGCCCTAAGCAATTTGACAGCTTCTATCTTTGGGATCCCCTTGAAATCTTAAGTTTTCATTAGGAGAGTTATTCTGCTTCTATACTTCTAAGTTTTATCCCTGGGTTATCTAGACCAAGTAAAATCACTTATATAACAACAACTTGTGCTTGTCATATCTGTAAGCTGAATTTCTGAGATAACAGCTTTACTCATTTCTTTCCAACTGTGAAGAATTTCCACAGTCTGTAATTTGGGTAAGAGGTTTAGAATGGATGCCTTCTACAGAACCAATCTCTCCCCCACCCTCCCACAACCCCACCCCAATCATATTTAAATAGAATCTAAGAAATGCAAATATTTAAAATAAGCATTCCATAGTGACTGCATTGGGTAGAGGAAAGACACCCAGCACCTCAAGCCAATTAAGAGAGTAAAGGTTCACATAACCACTCTGTAATAGCATGAAGTCTCTGGGAGCCAATGAGCTGAAATATTACCTTTATATTACAGCACAAACTGAACCAGTCTTCAGTCATTACTGTCTTCTACTACCAAAACACCCAGATATTTTTTCCTCTGTAAATTGGTATTTGGTCACTACCTGTGTAATTACAAGGTATCTGTCACTCCAGTGCAGTGCTTAATGCCTATATGGGTTAGGAAAAGTTGTACCCTTTCCATTTTATTTATAGTAAATGCAAAAGGACTGACATGATTTATCCAGCATCATATCCCAAGTCTGGAAAGACTGGTGATTGACCTTCTCAGTAAAGAACAGTTGGCATGAGGCTGACTTCCAGATCATAAGTCTCCCACGGACTCTAATTAAAGGTAAAACTGCTGAGAAATAACAAAATAGTATTTCATAAAATTTCCTGGGTAAATCAATTATACCCAATGTGCACTTAATTTTAGACACATTTATCTCCCTAATGCTTAGTGTTCAAATTCCACATGATGAAATGCTGTGAGGTTGCTATTCGCTAGGGACTTTACAGTTATACCACAGGACACAACGTAGGAAATCTTGTAGCAGTGGAAAGGTATGTATTAACCTACATACTTCATAGCTACGGTTGGTCTTGGGAATCTGGGACAGTAGGATACTCAAGTCCAATTTGCACAGCAGTGTGGAACCCAGAGGGCTTGTAATCAGGATGTCCTCCTGAAATGCCAAGGAAAAAAACAACCTGTTCTTCAGCTTCCTATGATGACAAGACGGGTCTGGCAAAATAGAACCTCAAGACATCACGAGTGACTTAAGATCTCATTACTTAGCTATAGAAGGCAGCCGATAATGAAAGAGTGGCTCACCTGCTTTGAATGACAATGCAATCCTGATAAAGTCGGTCATACATACAGATCTTTAAATCAATGTTGGGATTGGGCACCCAAACTGGCACATCAATAGAAACTCCAATGGCACTAAAGCACAGCTGTTAATACATAAATCAAGAGTGTAATTATTTTTCTTAGTCTCAAATTCTCACTGATTTAGACAGAGTTCTGAAATTAGGCAAAGCTATGAAAATCATTTGTAAAAAAACCTAGATGTTATGGTGTCCCAGCAGAAAAAAGAATGATACTTCCGTTTGGATTCTTTGAGAGAACATAGCATGCTGCCCATGATGTTGAAAAGAAATATTTAAAGTGCACTTAGTTTAAGTGAATGGGCCATAATTCAGAAACTCAAGAGACTGCAGCTTGTTTAGCCAGCAAAGAAATACAGTAATGGCAGCAGAGTGCTGTACTTCCTATAAGAACCTTAGTTCTGACATCAGTGATCACATAGCTCAGACTTGGATAAAACGATCCTGAAAAAGACGGTACTCATAGGAGCCTGCAGTATGTTCCTGCAGCTCCTTTTGTAGAGTATTCCATCTGTAGACCATGGGGAGAGCCAAGACTGGCCTACTGAGCTTCTTGGAAGTTTTTTCTTTATTTTTTTGGCAAGCTTCTGTGAACTGTTCCCAGGCAGAATTTGGCATCCAGTAAAGTGTGGAATCAAAATATGCTAAAGTGGTAACTAAAGTTGTCATCTCTTCCAGCTTTCACACATCAGTTTCACTACTGCATGCTAAATAATTCCAATTCTGATATATCAGAAAGAAAATAAACTACGTGGGTTGGGAACAGAGAAGAATACTTTTGTATTTGTTTCCATGACATTAGATGTTTTCCAGTATAATGTCTGATAAAATGGGAATATCATGATTATTTGCATAGAAATTTAAAAGAATCAACACGTTTAATAACCGTACTGCATCAGAAAGAAGGGCCACGATTTACAAAGTTACCTCTCATCAAACCACATAATACATAATCACGTGGTACCTCACTGTTATTTCTTATAATGTTCATAAACATATCTGTCCTCTACCTCCTTCTGTTTCTAAGGTTCTGAGCTCTTTTAATTCTTGCGAAAAGCAGAAGTAGCAGGATTTGAAACTCTTTTTCTACAGTGTTTTGAAGCAAGGCTTGCACAAAAATCACTCACTGGTTTGCAGTCTGAGTCGTCAAACATGATCACAAACTCTGCCCGCACATCCCCAGGGATAGCTGGGACAAATACAATCTGAAGTTTGACTGAGCTGAAGGGTCCAATTTCACCTTCTGTAACCTAAACAAGAAATAACATGTTTTTAATGAAAATCTGACGGTATTACTGTAGTTGGCTATAAATTGTATTGAAATAAAGCAGCAGCATATACTCATACTATACAAATACTCTATTACACCTAGTTTGTAACTAGATTGAATGCACTATGCAAGGGAAAAATCAGTATCAGTAGCTCTCTAGGAGATTTACTGTGGGGAGAAGACTTGGCATGACACATGGTTTCACAATCATGCATGGTCAGAATCTTACCGAGAGTCTCGCTTTACTGCAAGACTCTGTATGATAGCTAGATAATGTGGTTTACCAAAGTGTTTCCACCATATATTTGTGAATATGTAACTAAAACATGGAGAAGCTGTCTTGTGCTACCGTGCAAAGATCTGCTCTGCTGATTCCAGCATTGGAAGTCCACCTGCCTTTTGTATGGATAGGTAGAAGCCATAAATGCTAGTATGAACTAGTATCTGGACTCTCACACCCAGATTTTTTAATATGGCTCAACTTTGACATTTCCCAGACATTCTTCCTGCCTCATCTTTTGTGTTGTCACTGGACTTTGTATAACCTCGGAGCAACACAGCAGAAAAATCAGTTTGAAAAAAAAAAAAGTTAAATTATGAGAACAGCATCTTCCAGCTCAAATAAATCTTTATAGATCAAAAGAAAAGGCAAATATGTCATGTAATTTCATTTTAAGAATTAACTGTGATACAGTGAAGACCAGTGGGCTTGAAATTGATCATGTACTTAAGTATTTCCCACCAGATCAAAAGCAATTTATTTGATATAGGCTTAGTCTAGTGAAAATCTTGTCTGTATCTCAGGATATTCATTACCTTTCCAAGCATAATTTCGACTGGTGTTTCTTCAGAAGAAAGTTCCACTAAATTATGTGCATTGTCTGTGTCTAGAACCAATCTGGAGTTTAACACATCTTGACCAAATTGTTCTGGGGAAAAAAAAAAACACCACAAAGAAAACTCCACAAAATGCTGGATGTGTGCATCTATTCACTAAACAAAATTATCAAACAGAGCAGAAATACATTGATTTTGGTCAATATTGCAAATACAACAACACATGTAAGTAACGTATATATTGGGAAATATGTCTAGAAGGACATTTCTGTTTGGCAATATGACCTTGTCCTAGTCCAGAAGGCACCTGAGCTTTCCACTGCAGAATAACAATACTAATGTTTCAGGAGGATAAAGTAGATATTGGAGACTGTTACATCAAGGAATGCAAATTCAGCCAAAAGCGTGAACTGGGCTTCAAGAACAATTTCAGCGGGACAAAGCCATGCAGTCAGGAGGACCTACAAAGCAAGTGGAAGTGCTGCTTCATCACTTTCTTTTCAAAACAACTGCAATAATAAGTACCTTTAAACAGTCTCCCACCAGTGCTTCAAAGTGTCATAAACTAATGCATCATGCGAGATGAAGCTAACCCCAGACTGTATGGCAGTAATTGACTGGCAATCATATGCTTCACATTAACCACGAAAAAGATCAAGGTGTCATGAGATATGTTAATGTGCCAAAGCAATGGAATTTTTAATTTGTTTTTGTTTTGTTTGTTAACTTTAAAGATGTTTTCAGACCTTATGGGCTCTGTGGAGGCAGCTACCGTGATTTATGGAATCACTCCATTTCACAATACAGATCCCAGATTTAAAAAGAAAACCTACCACAACCTTTTCATGCAACTTTTAGTTTCCTGCAATTGGAATGATCAATATCCAGAAGAAATATTAAAGAATACAGATACTAAAGAAATTAAGAAAGTCCTCCTTCTAGGGGATTTTATTAAGCACATAGTAAACATTAGGAATGAGATGGAAAATGTCTGAGGAGGTTCATCTTTCTGCTTCCTTGTTCCTAGAATTACAGACTATAAAAATAAACCTGTCATGTGGATTTCTATTCTGAGAAGTGGGTATTCAGTTGCAGAGACAAGAATGATAACAATTTTGCAGTTTCTGTAAGCTAGTTGGTTTCCGTATTCTTCAGAGACTGAATTGTTAATTGCTGATGAGAAGTGAGATTCTCTGCTGCTTTTGATATAATGGTGTCAGTATGTTATTTTTAGTAATTTTTTGTGAGGCAGTATACAAAGAAATATAACATTACTGGAACGATGAACTACTTAATTGACTAACTTGGCAAACCGAATTCCACAGCTCATTACAGGAAACTCCACAAATGGATAATGCTTAGGCTGGGAAACTGCATTGCCAATTTTCTAAAATAGCCAACCCACCTGCAGAACTACTGCTCAGGCTTATCCCAGTCCTCTGCTGCTCCAGCGGGGCTACACAGTAGGTCATTTTTTCACTATGATCAGGACAAATTTGTTCCTTCTTTTCAACTACAGATGTCACAGGACTATTGCTTACTTTCTGTTCAGGGACACAGCCACTGAAATGTCGAGTAACCTATTAGAAAACACAGAAAAAGCATTTTCTACTGTGAGTGTTCATCTAGCTTGCACCAGTTCCAATTTTATCAAGCAGTTGCAATCAGACTTGTGTTTTCTTGCAACTGTTCCACATTATAAATGGAGAAATGTGTTGCTCTTTCTAAAAACTGCACAGTCTACTAGACCTTTATCAATGAGCAGATTTAATTTTTGCTGGCTGCCTAAAACAGGTAAATAATACAATGGAGCAATACAATATAGTGTTAGTTATTTTACAACTAAGAGAATGAACATTTTTCTAGTGGAAACACCAGCAGTTCTATGTCAAACCTAAGTCTGCTAAAACTAGACTTCTGTTTATTACATACCTACAGGAGATGGAATACAGAAGGAAAACCACGGATGCAGACACTGTTTTTTCACAAATTCTTTATTTGAACCACTTTTTTAATGTGAGGTTAGGATGAGAGTTGAAAACCATGGCAAACAGCTCAGCAGTTTCACTGTACGTACTATTTAATGTAGTGTTTAAAAGGAGAGGTCAACCCTTCTCTTAGAACTTAAAAGTGGATTAGATTATCAAGTAGAGAATTTTGAAAACCATCTGAGCCAATTGCTCTTTGACAATCAAAGAAGTTAAAGGGTGCACTGATGGAACAAAGATGAAGTGTCTGCAGTGCATTTACAAGAACATGTAAGCACTTCATAACAAATATATGCAACCTAGTAGTGATATTCCCTCTGGTCAAGGACCTGTGAAATCTACTTATGGGTACTACCCATGCAACGCCTGAAGAAAAAGGAACATTTATGATAATGATATTCATCAACAGAGGAATTACAAAGCACGAGTTCCTACTGCAGTGGGTAGCTGTTCGTTGTTGCTTTCTGGGTTTTTTTTGTTTTGTTATGTTTGTTTTTTGTTCTTTTTAAAAATCTGAAGATTTCCCCACTTTAAGAATAAAATCCGCAATTTATTTAGAAAAGGAGCAAGTAGGTCTTCAGACTTAAGCTATTCAGTATTCTCAAAATCTGCCCCACAGTGCAGACAGGCGAAGACGACTGTATGCATGCTTTCTTTGTAAGTGTTTTTCACTTAAAATTTTCTTCTACAGATGTTAGGATTCCTCAGTTTTCTGTCAACTTTGAAACTGGCATGCTGTAGGAGCAATCAGTATCAGGTCTAACACCACACATTTTTTTCAGCTCTGCACCAAGTGCCTGAGTTTTTGTACATTTCATCAGTCTCTGCTTCATTCCCACCCAGGACATTCCACAGGACACAACATTACAATCATTTGCATTCATTCCACTATTGAGAGATCTTCCTTCAATTCTTTCACACTATTTATTTTTATAGTTTCTGGGCAACAGCCCTCAGTGTAATTCTTAGTTTGATTAAGACGACTTCTGCCCTTGTAACAACAGCTTGTCAATAACTGTGACTGTACTTCTTTGATAGAAAATTAAACAAACAGCTCTGAATTTTTAAAGGAAGATCACAGGCTAATGCTCCCAATTCTCATTACTTTATTGCTGGTTTTGCAACATTTGGCATTTTGCTGACATCTGGGAGTTGGGATTATAAATTACTCTGTCAGAATCTCCTCTTTTAGCTGAAATATTTTTTCCTAATTTTCATGGATGTGAAGAAAATAGGAATCATGACATAAACTACTAAAATGTTTTAAAAAATTATCATTGTTGGTTCCCCCAACCATAAACAATCTACTAAAGGTTGGACCAGGTGATCTTCTGAAGTGCCTTCCAACCTAGAGCTGTTCTATGATTCTGTATGATTCTACCACATTTTTGCAAAGCAGAATGCTTCTATCAATTTAGGGAAATGCTTTTGAACCTACCATTCTTCCAGGAGAAGATTTTGCTGTTGCTCTGCATGTACTACTGTCACCTGCTGACGTCTGAACACTGAATCTTGTTCCCAAAGCTCCACTGTTTGTCAGGTTGATGGTGCGTGAAATTGTCTCTCCCACCACATGGCTGCCAAAGTCAATGAGCTCTTTATCTAGTGCCAGCTGTGAGAAGATAAACCATTAATTACCACTGTCCTACATAGTCAGTAATGTCAACTGAATGAGCATCCACCTTTTCAAGAATAGGATTTAAAGTTCTTATTATCATTGCAAAGATGGTAACAAGTAACAACATGAACTGTGGGTATCCTTCTGGCTTTTTGTAGCAGTCAACTCATTAAAACAATGTCTATTATACTGAGCCACTTCCTTTTCAGTCCACTATATAATAATGGAAAAAAACAGGTTAAATGCCGTTCATAGTGGCAGCTTGCATAAGTCTTCAGGTAGTTACTCTGGAAGTAGGTAATATTTACATACCAATTCAACATTGTTGCTCTTGTGTTACAGTAAAATGGTTCTACGAGCATCAACCTGAGAAGCAAGCAGTATTTAACATCATATAGTCCCTACGTATCAGTTTAACACATCCTGTCTTGTTTCTTTGAGCTACCATGGTTTACAAGCAGTTTAAAAAGTAATACATTACTTCATACAGAACTTTTAATGACTTTGTAACTGGGTATGTGATAATGAAAGGCTTGTAATTCAAGTTCAAGCATCAAAAAGATGAAGACAACTTGGCTGCTTGCTGCTTACAGCTGAACACCTCCCACTTTCAGGGCACAAAGAATGGGAGTTCCTGCATGTAATTAGCACACAATGATGGCATGAATTCTCTTGGTGAAGAGAACTACTCCTCTGATCAAAGATTAATGTGCTGGCTTTCTACTGCATTGTACATTCTCATCTTCAAGAACTTAATTGAAAACCAAAGAGTCCTATACACAGTCAGGCTTACGTACGCAATATTGATGTGAAATTCTAGCTTCCTACAAGTGCTTAAAATTAAGCACATCCTTAAATACTTCGCTAGATTGCTAATATAATAATTATGGTGCACTACCTTTCAGTTACTTTCCCCTTCTATTTTCTGTGTAACAGATTATTCTTGATTCATGTCCCTGCATGCAAAAGTTACAATGTCCAGTAAAAAAAACTTTACATGCAATCTTATTCATCCAATTTACTGAAACATAATACTACAAACTCCAGGAAGACATTCATATGTCCAAAGCCTTTTAAAATTTATTTTTTATTTTTATTGTTAAGTATGCTCCCAGTATATCCCAAAGTTTGCATTTGCCAGTCTTATTCTGATACTGGGTTTTTCTTCGCATAATCTTTTTCCTCTAGCATTGTATATTCTCATCTATAATTTCTTTTGGCCTGTAAAGCCAAAGCTGCTCTTAGCTGTAAAGGAAGTAATTTAAAAAAAAAGTTGTTGCTTTTATCAAATACTTTCTTCAAGTTAGCTCACAGGAAGTTAAGGTACATAAAAAAAATTAGTGCTGCATGTAGTTTCACCTATTAACAGTAAGAAAATCATGTTCTTGGCTTAAAATTCAGTGTGTGTGTATATATCTCAAAAGATTTTGAGATGCTGGAAAAAAGGAGAGATTACATGGTTTTTATAAATGTCAGGAAAGACAGAAAGATATTCTGATATTTTGATTTTTGTCTACATCGAAAATTAAAGTTAAGAATGAACTACTGCAGGCCTGGGATGGAATTTCCAAAAATTACAAGAAGAAAAAGATAGCTCATTTCCAGTCACCATTTGTCTTCCCTCCATTCACAATGTAGCATTGTGTGATCAATTTCTAGACAGAACTACTTCAGTTAATTCCACTCTGAAGTTAAAGTTACAGTTCATGGTTTAGTAAATGCATTAAAATAATTTTGTATAGAACTCAGTGTAATCTGGGAAGCCAAGGAATTAACCATTTTCTGGAAAGAGACTCTCCATTTAAAAGGAAAAAAGAAAGAAATATAAATACCTCTTGCTAAACATTTTCAATAACATTTATGCTATCGTACATTTTCTATTACTGTTGTTATACTGACTCTGACCACACTTTAAAAAAGTCACTTACAATGCATCTCTTGGCTGTACATTTCAATGGAACAGAAAAAGAACCTGTCTGTGCCATAAACATGACTTCTCCTTCCAGAGTTTCATTTATCTAGGAAAAAAAACCACAAACAACCCAACCAAATTATTTGCAAAGATTTAGTCTATGTGGTCTGATGAAAAATATTTTCACTCATTCTTTGAGTAACATATTACAATATGTCTCTACAGATTCTATATATCCACTTTAAAACAGTCTTGGGTAATTGCCTGGCGAACATGAGCTAGGCAGTATTATAAATGTTTTCGTTTGGAGCTAAGTTTCAAAACATACTCCAAAGTACTTAGTGACAAGTATTTTTCTAAAGCATGCCCTTAGACTATGCCTTATTACAATTTAACAGAGCTGGAACATACACACAGTCGCCCAAGTACAACAGTACCTTTTCTAGGAATGTAGCTTGTTTCCTTGTTAACAGTTAAGAAATTAAATTAATGATGTTTTTAATCAGACTAGTGGATTAAACTAGGATTCTCATCACTGTGTAACTTAGCACTCAGGTGCACTTACCATTGGCCTAAATGTTACCACGATTTCACAGGACATTCCAGCAGACATTTTGCCAGGTGGGTCAAAACTATGGATATAATGAACATAAAACTCCAAATTAAAGCTATGTATGAAACATTCAACTCCTATTCTGGTAACAATGACAGATTTTTGAAAATATTTTTTCTCCCGCTTAGATTAATTACTTAGAAATGTCAGAATGAGTGACAGATTAATGAAAAGCTACAGAACCCTGCTGCAGTTGTAAAACTACAAAGGCTGATTATTTACTGAGGTTTTACACAGAAAGTCTTAAAGTGCTTTTAAAAGGCAAGAATTATTGCCTTCATGCTCCAGACAAAGAGACTGTAGCCAAACAGGTGAAGCTGAGGCTCAATAATATCATCAGGAACAGGGTGGACCCATTGCCTGTTCTAACAGCCAGGAAGCAGCCTTCTCCCATTATCCAGTCTGAGTGTTGCTCTGTAACATCTCCCCCGTTCAAACGGGAAACGACAAGGAAAGAAATATAGAAGGTAGCTGCAAATGCTTAGAGAACGAACGTGCTCCTTGCTGCAAACAGTACCAAAATCATCTTGAATAGAACCTGCCACTCATTTCAATGCCTCATTTCGTGGTCTCCGTGATGCAAGCAAAATGCCCATCAGAAGACAAGAAATGTCACAGCTGCACTCTAAATGAAATTAAGGCACTCCTGGAGACCTATTGTGCCTGACAGAAACAGAAAGGAGGACAGACAAAATAGATAACTAAATGTTGTTAGCCATGGGGAATACCTACGCAAACTGGGCCATACTGAAACACAGAACATACATGCTAATCACGATTTTATCAAAACAAAATTAAAACCAAAAGCAAGATGAAATATTTTCAAACAAAAAAGGCAAACACTGTTCAGAATTCAGAGGATTAAAATGTTAATAGGGAAATAAGCATCTATGTACTGACCTTCAGAACAGATCACTAGTAGTTTCACCTGAGAAAGACTTTAAGAATAGTGCCTTCTATTTCAAATGTTACCTTGCTAAAATATTTATGATTTAGAGCATAAGCTGCCTCACACCACCGTGCTAAGAATAGACTCCCATTGCATGGAGATGCAATAGTGCTTATTTTAACCATTAGAATATAGCTTTTTATTAGCAACTACAGGGTCTGTCATCGATAACAGTTCTCAAGCATTATGTCTGTAACTACCTGTGCAAATGCTTTAGGGGACAGCTGAGAGCAGGAGAGCTTAGATGTACTGGGTATTTTCAAAATACTTGGTAAAACTATTTTGTAAGAAACAATTCATGTGTGTTCTACTTGAGAAGATACAAGCATTATACAGTGTAAGACCAATGTCTACAAATTTGATCTGTGCTGTTCAATTTATTAATAATATGACAATGCATAATAAGATTTATAGATTATTTTTGCTAGCTATCTATCTGGCAAATATATGGGTAACCAATTTATTTGAAAAATTTGAATTAATTCATCAGATATCAAATGAATGTGAATTCTATTCACAATACTTCAGGTTTCATTTGTATTTGGAGAGTACCAGAAAAGGCAATTATATCAAGGAAAGAAGATTAGTAACTTTAAAAAAAAGAAAAAAGTAGAAATTAAACACATATTATAAACGGGCCAAAATTAAATCCACATACATGATTTCAAAACAAGCAAAAAACCACATTCATATTCAGCTGAGCACCACAGCAAGTTTAAAAGCTTAAGTGCTCTGCTGTATTGTGGTCAATTATGCATGTCCTTCCAACCCAAAGACTCTATGATCTCTCAATCTGTGACTAAAGTATTAAACATCTTTAGCAAGATCTTCTACAGCAGCTGGATTCAGATTTTATAGCTCTCAAGCGATTACTTTCAGTCAAGAACTGTAGTACGTTCACATTCCAATGTGCTCTTATAGGGACTAAGTGGGCAAGGAATGGCTTAACTATGCACCATAATTCTTCTTATTAAGCTAGCTAGAAATTCCAAGTGCAATCTATCACTGCGAAGTGGCAGTGGGTAGTGAGCTGTAAAATGATCTCTGGAGTATGATATCAGTTACTGTGGTAATACAACTTGTTTATTTCACTGGGGTATGACTAAATAGTCACAGAAACGGTTTCTTCAGGTCAGTCAGCCATAAGAATTGAAACCTTGACATTTCATGTAAGGCAAATGAATTCTCTCTGATGTCTCCTATTTGTCAATAAGCTTCACACACACAAACAAGAGCTTTAGCATTTCTTCACTTTTAAGCTAAACTACAACCAACGATTTTTGTTTGTTTCACAGAGTTCCAAGTAAATATATCATTTTCTTGACTTCATTTTTTAGATAAAGGCAAGTTGTGAAAAGTAGTATTTTGTATTTTTAAAGGCTTGGAATATCTCCAGAGAAAGCTAGTCTCTGAATTATTCTTAAAAAGAAACAACTGGGGGATACTTCCATTTGTTTATTTACAAACAGTCAAATAAAACTATCAATATAGCTACATTGAAGATTAATTTGGAATCTCAGCTGGACAGAGTACTTAATTATATAACCTGTCATGAGGATTATATGAATGGATTGATGGGAAAGACCGCAGGACATCAATTTAAGTGCTCTTTGCTCTGAGATTCCTTTATTTCACCAGCTTCTTCACATTTAAACTTCAGCAGTAATCTGGAAATTAGTGTGAATCATACTATGAAGGATGGCAGCTGGTATAAAAGGCTTGCTTAGGCTTAAAGGCTGTTGTGGTGGACTAGAAAGAAGCTTGGGTACTCTTACTTCTTTGTACCTACAATGAGATCCTTTTCCACTTTTTAAAAGGTTCTGACATTTTTGAAAAAAGCTTTCTACTTGCTCAGGGCTGGCAGTTACCACAGGTCTGTATTGCTTTCCACAAATTAGGGACTGGTCCCTTGCTATCACCACTCTAGACACCAATGACACGCAGCTCAGGCTTAGTAAGCATCTTACTTCTCAGCTCTGAGACACAGTTCTTTTCCTCATCTCATACAATTGCAATATAATAATTTAGATGTATTTATTGAAATCTATTTAATTTACTACAGAATTTGGTTACATCTCCTGTTGTGGTACAAAGGTAAAAAAAGCAACTAGTCTACTGTGACTTTTACTTACTGAATACTGATGAAGTCCTTGAGCCTCTCACTGACTCCCACTAGTCTGCAGAAATTAACACTGTAGGATGCATTTATCAAAACTATCTTCTTTTTGTAGATTTGACCAACATCAAAATCCTTGGAATACCAAACATATCAGGTGGTGTGAATTACAGGAAGTAGCATTTACACATGTAAGACAAAACCAACTGCTTTTACCAAGTTGTGCTCACAGTCCCTACTGTGATCGCAGGCCTGTATGCAAAGGGTTGTATAAACCCGTAAAGCATTTCCTTGCTTCAAACAAACCCTTTCAAAACATACAGCCCATAAAGATGGGAACTCATGCTTCATGGATGGGGCAACATTAGCTGGGTTTGTGCACAGCTAATGTGCCAAGTTGCTCTGTCTTTTCCTGCAGTGAATGTCAAAGACATTATGTCACATCCATGGTCTAATGGAGTTGTTAACAATTTAGACTGTGTGGCAAAGACAACAGAGATTTTTTGAACACAGACCTAGGTGCCACTGTCTTCCAATGGAGGTCTGCTGTTTCTGTGCAAGGCACAGGCTCCTGGCTCCTAATAAAACCAGAGTGCCATGAAAGCTGTATACCTGGGCACATTCATTAACACATAGACAAGAAGAGTCCTGCAGGCCGACTGGCAGCATGTTTCTCTGACACAGAATGTGCCCCACTAGCAACCTTTTCAAGTACAAAGAAGAACTAGGCATAGTGTTATAATTTCTCACAGTACACTTGTTAATTACAACACAGAGATATTTGCTCACATTTCTGGCAATATTTAAATTCCCCTAGTAAAGGAAACAGTTTTACTACTTAGGTCTAAATTATAAATTCAGTAGTTTATTTAATCTGACTATAACTTCCCTAAGAGATTACTAGAGAAAAAGACACGTACTGTTTCAGGTTTGACTAAAGACCAATTAAAGACAATAAGAATATTTTTTTCTTCCCAGTGCAACAAAATTTTGGTCACGACATCAGTATATACATACAGTAGATACATACATCATCTTTATAGATCCTATGCAGAATGGCCACTAACCTTGAAATGAATGCAACTTGGTTTACTATAGAAAGTACATCCCTTCCCTTCATGACCAGACACTATTTGCTTGTGAAAAATTCCCGTTTGGAATTCCTCCATTTTTTTCTCAAAAATTTCTTTTTTCACTACCGTTGTAGCCAGCTGCTTTGGATCCCCTTCTTCTTTGGATATCTAATAAGGGACATCAGTAAAAAACACCATGACTGTAAGTGTGATCATAGAATCCACAGCTCTAAGTAGAAAAGTCTGCGAATAGAATCTTTTGTATCTGATCAGCCTTTGTTTCTCTCCAGATCAAACTCAGCCTCCCAACTTCTGTATGAAGAATTTAATTTATTCTTGGCTGTCTGTTCTGTAGCTTATCATGATCCCACACTATGACATCGTGTTTTTAATGGCAGCATTATCTCTTCTGCATTTAAAGAGTTTTTTCCCCTCAACTTCTTAAACAAATACTCATTCAGAAAAAAATCAGCTAACTTCACTGGAACAGTGCTTTTTTCATGCAAGTATATGAATATGTACTGACATTATTTCATTTTGATTGATTATAAAGTCTGCTATTAAAGGTCTTCTACACCTCCAAAAAGCTGTATATGCAAATATACCTTGGAATAACATTTAAGATCTTAACTACACAATTCCAGTCTATAAGAGTGTATTATTTACTTCTGTTTAGAGTATAGAACACTATTAATTTACTACAAGGTATGTTTTTCTTTGCCTAGTATGGTACAAAAAAAGTTGTTTCCATATACAATCTGTGTTGCCAACTCAACAGAAATTCACATTTAGTTTTTTTTAAACTCAAACAAGTGAACATGATGTGATGTATGTCTTCACATATCTCTGAACCAAAATTGAAGTATTTTCTCTTTAAAAGAACAAACTCTACAAGAATAGTGTCAAACAGCAATTACTCTGATGATATTCTCAAATCTGAATTTCTATATCTATGTAATAAATGCATTTTAAAAACAAAATAGACAATTAGTGTTTTTAAGCAAGGTTCCTAAGACAGCACTTGCCAGCGTCATTACTTCAGATATCTACAACTATCAGAGAGGCAAATGAAACTTTTCTAATCCATTAGGATACTTTCACGGATACTGTTAAAGTTTTGTAGAGACTAACTTCACAATGAGTCCATTACAAAGGGATCTCATCCACTTTTTTTTTCTTCCCTATTTCTAATAAGAGGTATTGCAACATTTACCTTGTGCAAGTCACATTCCTGACTCCAAAGTCCTGGGAACTCTGGTTCCACTAGGGCCTTGTCTCTCTCATCTTCACCACTTTCACAGAGCACATCATCGGGTATTTTTTCAGAAACCTCTCCTACAGAAGCAGTTCTCCCACCAGCTAAGGAACAAGCTGACGGAGAGCACCACAACTTTTGTGAAAGAACATAAGTTTTGAAGATATGGTTAAAAATTACTAGAGGACAGTTACTTCAACAGTTAACATTTTTTGAGAAGATCTTTTAATACATAAAAGCTAGGTCTATAAAGCTCAGAGGCCAAAGATGACATCTTAGGTCAATCCCTTCTTAAGACACTGAATACAGACAAAATTTTACGTTAAAAACATCTATATGACATTAATTGTATATTATAGGAGTATACTATATATATTGTATACTAGTCCTCAGGCATGAGAATACCATCTGTAGTTGTTGACTGTTTTGTGTATCACATGATAAGCAAGGACTTTGTTGTTTTGTTGTAGTATGACTATTTCTACCAACACCTCTCCCTTTTTCTTTGAAATACCTAAAGATTGCATGAAGCCACTAGTTTCATCAGGGAATTCAACTCCCTCTACCTCCACTTTCCAGGACAGTACTCCCTGGAATACTGCACAGAATAAAAAAAAAAACAAACAACCAAACATCCAGGAAGCTTATGTCTAGAGAGAACCACTGTCTCCTTTCAAATGTAGTGGAAACATTTCTCTTGTGCTGACAAACTGATCTGAATCCTTACTCAGGGATGAAGGTAATTAAACAGAAAATCAGGGTACTTTGCATGGTTTTTGATGCCTGTTGCGATTCATGTATTTGAAAATTCACCTCTCCTTAAAAATGCCCTTAAAAACACACCTACACTAAACAGGACAATGTCTTTATTCATACAAGCATCAACAATCAAGAAAAGGGAGATTAACAGTCATTAAGAAATCTAATGGAGAAATTACTCCCCCCTTGTTCTATACTGTCTGGTATTTGGTTGTAGCCTGTAGTATTCACAGGCAAAAGAATTCATTTCCTTGCACCTTTCACAAAAAAAAAAAAAAAAATCTAGACAGTTAATGGCCTTTGTTTACCTGTGATATTGCTCCAGATGATTGTTTGCAGGTCTTCTCAATATATTGCCACGTTTTCGTTTTCCACAGTAAAGAATCCTCAAGTTTACCACCACTCTTAATTGCCTTAGTACAGGACTGACTTTTTTCCTGCTTGTGAACAGAAGCTTTTTCTTGCAAAATTTGAGATACAATCTCAATTTTTCTTGACTTCTGCTGTTCTCTACAAGCTCTGTAATCCAATGTTTTAATAAATATTAAACCAACCATGAATGTTTACTAATAATATTAACCACAGTTTCTTTTGAGCTTTTAAGCTAAACAGCGAGTCTTTAAACTGGGTACAGTAATAATGTGTGTCAAGACACCAGGCAATTTAGAGGCTATTTATACATTTTTTCTGACTAAATATACACAATTACAGTGTTTTAGAAGTTGAGTAGTTGACAAAGCATACCAGTCAGCGCTACTGAAAACAAAGTTTTAAAATAATTTTCCTAACCTAGTTAGCTATTTAAAGAAAACTGCCTATCTGAAATCCAGTGGACTTAATAAAGGCAGGAATGATGGTTAAAGGTAAGGACGTAAGTACTGAACTTGGATGATATGAATTCAAAGCTATGTACAACTACAAATTCCACGACACACGGGGTAGTGTAACAAAGGTGACAGTAGATAATTTAATCTCAGTTTTAATACCAGCAGCTTAATACACAATTTTCTGCAACAAATATTACCCATGCTAATGATGGCTTTTAATATAGACTTTCATGTCTTCAACTAATCCATATAAATAATTACTGATTCTAAATAGGAGCAAAGAAAATATCACCTCTCATTTAAATACAGGCTACTGCCTATTGAGGCACTTTAATGTCTGAATTTAGCCTCACGATGTCCCATTGCAGCAGATAAATGTCAGTGTATTTATAATGTATTTTTGGAAAAATCATGGTACAAAGAAATTAATCATGGTTACAAAGACATAGGAACGGTATCCTGACTCCCAGTGCTATCTGCCTTAAGTATAAAGCCGTTCTCTGTTCCTATGATCAGTTCTTGTCTTTATGAATCTTTTTATAGGTGATATACAGATTAATGACATAATGGTTTTAATGACTAAGTAGTTACTTTCTTTTGCAGATAATTCAGAAATATATATCCAGGCTGAAATATACTCTGAGAAAACTGAGAATATCCCTTCACAGGAAAGGAGAAAGGCAGAGCCCTGGGAGAAATAACTAGGCAGTTCTTCAGCAGATTAGCAGGATGGCAGCTGAAATTAGAAAATAAATGTTTTGAGAAAAAAAAACTGCTGTGAGAAACATGACACTATTAACATTAAGACTAACAAACTGTGATGTCCCTTGGCCTGCAAAGGGAACCAGTGAAAGGGAGAAAGCAAGCAAGGTGAAAAGGATTAAATTTAAAGAGTTGTGTATTCCAGCAGATCTCTACAAACTGGTATGATTATTTTAGTAACAGTATTTTTAGAACATATTTAGGGATAGCAGAAGTGATGCTACGCAGCTAGCAAGACTGAAACTTTATTTAGTTAAAACTTAAGACTTATTAAGTATCTAACATTTGCTACAGGTTACTGCCTTTGTGGCAGAGCCAGCATGCAGAAACACATACCTCAGTCACCCTCTGTTTTGTACCTTATCTCAAATTCATCTTCATAAGTGGTTAAAAACAATAATTAAGTTTTGCACTGGAGCAGATGAGATACAGGCACAATCCTATCAACTTTACTACAAAGGCAGAGGATTAATTTCAATTTAAAAAAAAGCACAAAGGAGAATAACTTGCTTCTGCCCTTACTGCAGTGCAATCTTACAGAGACTGTCTCTAAAAGCCTAAGCAAGATATTTAATTTGTATAAGGACAGTGTTCAGTAAATGCAGAAGTACAGTTACTTCAGGCATACAGTTTAGGTTCACTGAATTTTCCCCCAGAGTAATTTTATCTTCTTTGCACTAATCATAGAACATGGGCTCTCTGAGCAATACCTAAGCTACAAGTTCAAGTTGCTTAAGACAGACTATACAAATATCACACATACAAAGAATAAGAATGAGTTCACTCCCTTGACACGGCATCACAGGTGTTATGTTTCCAGAATCTGATCAAGAGCTCCAGTATATTCCTGCATGAGCATCAGTAAGCAGCTGAGAGTGATATTGATATGAATACTTACTGTTTCCTTTTTTCATGCTCTAGCAATCGCTTTTGGAGAAAAATTTCCTTGGCAACATTGCCTCCTTCTGCTAGGACAGCTTCCCTCATTTTCATCTCCTGCTTCTTTGCCTCCAAGGCCATTGCTTTTTTCGAAACCTGGAGAGCTCGGAGTTTTTCCTATGAAGCCATACAAACCACAGTTACACATTTGATTCACATATTAAAGAATATAAAACAAAGAATCTAGTGTTGGTTCCCTTATCCAAGTATAAATTTGTGGTAGATTTCTATGAAGTAGAACTTACTGTTTTTAATATAAAATAGTCATGGTGTGCTGAGATGCAGAAAGCTCTCACTAGGTCAGGGCTACTTCTTTACCCTTCTAGCCTGCCCTTAAGATGCTACACATTTTAAGCAATGTGGAAAGATACAGTTCTAAACAAATCAGTATTAAATTGAGACAATTCCTTCAGATTCTACAGAACATAAGTAGAAGAGCAAAGTAACATAGCTCAGAAATTCCTAATTTATATTATTTAAACTCTTAAGTAACTGTTTTTCTTCCAGATGTTTTCTCCATATGAAGTATTTCTGCACTGGGATCCATATAACTGGAAATACTTCTGGAGAAGTTTTCAGAGAACTTTTTTGTAGTATGCATTATTTTCAAGAGAGCTACCCGAACAACTAGATTGTTGACAGAATTGTTCTCCATAAGCAGAAGTGTCAAAATCTGCCCGTACAAATCTAACGCCATTACTCCTACAGTTAAATTCTCCCCAGTTTCAAAAGAGATTTCGTTGGTGAACCAACAACATCACACAACAATTCTACAATGAAAACTGAAATTACTTCATTAAAATCTAGCAGTCTAACAAGTAATTTTCTTCATTCCCCATCTAAGCCACAGCAGCAGTACCCTATTGGAAGTTATGCTGTTTTTCAGGGAAAGCACAGCTTGTATCCTTCTCTCCATATGCTCCTGAGTTTTCACTTCTTCCTTTGCATTTTTTTCATGAATTCTGTAAGCAAAGTAAAATCTTTCAGGCTTGTATCCTGGAAAGCTTTTAGTATTAGAATGTTTAGCCTGACAAGTAGTAATTGTCAATGTCACCATTCTTCCTGTAAGCTTCTGTGTTTACTATGATACTGGGTGTGGGTAAAGTGGAACAGTTGGAAGACTCTTCTATATACAGTACCACTCAACTTAAAAGTGCCAACAGGCTTTCAACTAGTTTGCTCAACAACTTTTTTTTTTTTTTTTTGCATATGAAGAATGTGTCCCACATTATGACATATGTCTAGTTGCTAAAAACAATGTAAGAATTCAGGTGTTGCTCATATAACCAATATCTAAACAATTACATAGTGAACTTTATACGAGCTAGCCACTTGTACTCAAGCTAAAAATAAACCCTACAAATTCTAAAAGCTAGAAACATGTGGGCATGAATCAAGTCGGAGAGTATTCCAGCTAATATAATGGTAAACTAGAAAAAAATTAATAAGAGCGATATATTTGATACGTTACAGGAAAAAAAAAAATCTATTTGGTTGTTTGTTGTTCTTAATTATTGTAAGTTTGCACATGCCATCTAATGAAAAATAAACCAACACAAAATAGTACAATAATTTCAATAATTTTTCAATTAAGTCCTAATATACACATAAAAGTAAGTAACAAATGTTCATAGCTTCTTTAGCAGCAAAATAATTCAACAACAGAGTAACTATACAAACATAAACCTATGAAGAGAACATTTAATTTACCATCAACCAGAAAAGAACAGGAGCACAAAGAAATGACCTATCAACCAATTTTACCAGACAGCAAGAAAGCTTTTTTTACCACATTTCAGAGGGAATATACAACAGCAGAGTGCAAGTTTCAAACTGGGATTTAGTTATACTACTTCAAACTACTTCAGTTAACAAAACACACACATATATAAAATGGTTTCAAACCATTATTAATGCCTACAAGTAGTCAGACACTTCTACATTTCATCAAAAAGACGGTCCCTTCAGTTATAGGGACTCTGAAGACCATACTAGGACAGTTAAGTGTATTTCTTCTTTTCAAGTGCTTTTGTGCCATGTAAGATTTAAAGGCTTCACAGCACTGGCACTGTGGCAGAAGATTTCCAAGTGTAACAGAAGACACACCTAGCAGAAAAACTATCATTTTTCAAAGAAAAAAGGATAAAGTATTGTACACCAGAGAATGTACAAGGACAGAAAAAGAGTGAACAACAACCTTGCCATGCTTTTTCTCAGGAAGCGGACTGCTTTTTCATTGTTCCTTTTGGCATCTTCACGCATTTTTTTATGCCTTTCTTCATATTGTTTCTGGGCTTCCTCTTCTTTTCTACAAAACACAGGCAAATCTACAGTTGCAGCAGGACTAAGGAGACCTTGATTTCAACACAATGACATCTAAGGGTGTGTTGGGGAGTTCATTAATATGTGCTGAAATGAGTCTTTCCCTCCCCTTCCCACCCCCCCCAGTCTCTTGTTTTCACAAAACCTATAGACAAATCGATAAACTGGTATCTTCAAGAAATCTGGGGAACCCGATCTAAGTTGAGAGGGTCCTGGCAGTCAATCACAACACAGACACATGCAGTTAGACTGATCTAATAAACTTCATTTCCTTAGACAAAAAGTATTCACAGTTTTTGTCTTTAGTAAGTTTGTTTTCATAGATCAGAAATCTTGCCCTGCATAACTGCAAGACGGTGGGTAATTCTTATTTTAATTCCATTTCCTCATAAAATATTCCTGAAGCAACACCCAGCTAAGAAACACAATACCACTGGTATTTGAATTAGCTAATCTTCTCAACACCTTAAATAGTGAATTGGCTAAAAATAAGACAGAGAAAGGAAGCAGAGTCTGACTTATAGGAGCTTACTTTTCTCTAGACCACCGATTTTCTTCTGCTCGCAGTGCTGCTATTTTTTCCTTCCAAATCCGCTCTTTGGCTCGTTCTTGGTATTGCATCTCTAGCTCCTCCTCATCTTTTTTAAGTTGTTCATGGAAGATTTCATATTTTCCCTGCTCAGTTTCTATTTGCCACATCTCAAGCCTTTAAAAAAAAGTGTGAGCTGTTTTTACTGAAATGCTGACATTCTTTCACTTACTTCAGGCTATTGAGTAAGTCAGGCTCTATCATAAAAATTAAAATCTAGCCATGTTTTTGTTTATTTTTTAAATTAAAAAATCATACCCTGTTACTGACACAGGTATCGTACCTTTCAGACCAAGGCTCACATCTAATAGTAGATCTCATTTTAAAGACATCAAAAATATCATTAAAAAAAAGTAAAAAAATAAAGCTCAAGGTTCTGTTTCCCAAATTCCTATTTATCCAGCAGAAAATATGGAAACCAAGAAAAATTAGAAAAATAGCTTTTTCTTCAACAGTAAATAACTTCAGGGACAGGCGATAGCTTTTGTTCTTCTACATTTTGCTGAAGGAATTTAGATATGATAGGGACACATCTAAACAGATTAATATACTTATTGCTAATCACACAATAAACAAGCATTTTTAAGCTATTATACAACACTGCAGCAGAACATACTGTATTCTGGTTAATCACGTCTATAAGCTCGTGCTTGTGTTCCTCCTTTGATGTGGTGGCATTAGTAGTTGTACCTCTGGTGCCAAAATACAAGCACACTTGCCTTCTGCGAAAGACAGTTTTATTCTGTCCTATATAAATAAATAACTTAGTATGTGTGAATAATCAATTACAAGCAGCAATATTAGCTTAGCATAAAAATACACAGTACCACTACAACGTCTCCATCATTCTCAATTTCAATCTTTTCCTTTATGTCCCATAAAAACCACTAAGAAGCATAAATTAGAAGTGTTTATGCTCATTCTGAAATCAATATCACAGACAAGTTGACTTTAGTCCAGCTTATTTTCCATGTAAAATGAGACCTGTTTAGGTCCACAATGTATGCACAATGCCAAATAAAACCAAAACTTCATTTATGTGTGCAAAACTAACTCAGGAGCTGAGCCACAGCAACCAATTTCCTAAGCAATGAACTGTTCAGGCTAAAAATTGCTCTCAAGATCCTTTGCCTTGCAGTTAATCTCATATGACCTCAAATTATGTAGTTCAGTATTTACAAGCAACTTCTGTAGTCATTAACTTTTGAATCCATTAAACAGCATATGAAGACCATAATAAAGACTGACTCCCATCACACTGTTTTCTCATTCCCTCACTTACGTGTTTTCTTTTAGTGTCAAAGCAATTTTCAGCTCAAAATCCTTCTCTTCCTCCAATTCAGTGCACAGTCGTCTGTGCATTGCCTGAAGGCGGGACAAGGCTGCGCTGTTAACATTAAGAAGAAAAAAAATCAGAAAGAAATTGAAACTAATAAAGGTTAACCCCCCCCCCCGCAACAATAAATCTCAGCTTTGAGATTGAGATTTATGTATTAGAATTCCATTAATTTATGCAGTCTCTTATTTGGCCTTCTAAGTGCCTATCCTTCATTCAAAGGCATAGCTTGCTTTCTTTAAACTATTACACATCGGCTGAAATTTACAGAGGAGTATTTATTTCAAAAGCACTGACCAGTAGCTTAAGCTGACTATTCATTTCTCAAGCTGATAAAAGTAGTATTATTAATGCAAATAAGTTTAGGCAAACCTAGGGAACCTAGACTGATTTTGCTTGAAAAATGGCATTACAATATTCCATGTACTTTGCCTACAATGGCAGCGTTGCCATACAGTTGTTTATTTTCCTTGGTCTTCTCTACCCAGGAAAACTAATAGACAGTATATTACAGAATTAACAGACAGTGAACTAATTATATTCAACATAAGCTCCCTTCCTCAAAATGAAAATTGGGAATGGATCTTCTACCTGCACTTACTACTCTAACTTCAACATTTTTCTATTGGCCATCAGTAATGCTAATGGTAGCTAGTATTTTCATTATTGCTAGAACATGATGCCTTTGAGCTTCATAAGCCAGAAATTTATCAAGTCTTCTTACTCCACTATTCACTTACTAAATATAATAGATTGTGAGAATTGCTATTTTTCTGCATATCTAGACCTCACAACTCAACCCATCATAAGCATGAATACTTCTACAATGCTTTTTTGTCTTTGGTGGTTTTTGTTACTGTCTCTTTGAGATCCTGAACAGGGAGTACTAGCACCCATCACAGGAGTCTCATTAGCACTCAACTCATCATTTTGTTTAAGCAGCTGTTCCATTTTGGCAGTTAACCTACCTTTATTATTCTATCATTCATTGATATACTAACTTGAAGATTAACACAGGTCATAAAATGCAGCTGCAAAGTTTGTTCACAGTACACTGGTTCCTGGTACACAAGCCACCCACTTCTTTCTATTTAAACCAAATGTGAAGAGTACAGTAGATTGCCTCCCACTTTATAGCAAGTGTGTTTCAGAACAGCTCCTGTATGCAGGACTACTCCTGAAAGGCATTCATGCATTTCACAACATTAAAATAAAACCAAACAAAAAACAGAAAAAGAAATGGCATATATATAAAAATCATGATTGTAATAGTTACCAGAAGCAAAACCACAGCCTCTAAAACTGCCATAGCACATTGATGTTGGTTCATCATAGTAAATAGAAATGATTGAGACCCTGATAAACATAATTGACAGTAGTAGGCTAGGCTGATTTAATAACCAGTTGTTGTTATATTTTAAAATACATGCTTCTTTCCCACCCATTCCTAGGTTTCCACCTCTTTCTGCACTGATTTACCTAACAGAATACTACCTTTAGACCAGAAAGCATAGAGATCAATGATTCTTAAGCCAATACACTATTATTCTTTATTTCAAAAGGAGGAATTATTGCTGAAAATATGTCAACCTGAAAGTGACTGCAACATTACTGTTCACCAGCACGGGAGTGAATGCATTTCTATGCTCACTAGCTGGAAGTGCAATACTCTTCTATCAGAATAGCCTTCCAAGCTCATGCAGTCACATCTTAACCTAAGAATGGCAATGGGTTTCATCACTGATCCATTAACACCTTTAACATATGTGCTTAAAAATTCCATCAACTGTTCAATAGCATGAAGAGATGAAAACAGGAAAGTTTATCTCATTAGTTACACAGATAAACATAGTGGATGCCTGTAATCTCTGGTATGCAGAAATACTCTCTACCTACACATTGCCAGCCTCCTCCTCTTTCTCTATTTCAATGTCTACATACTCCAGCTGCTTTGCTAGCATCTTGATCCGCAGCTGACAGGTAGTCAGCTTGTCTCTGCAAGAAACAAACAGATTATTTATATTTTATAAGTTCTTTACTCTTTCCCATGAAACTCCTCCTTTGAGGGGCAAGATTCACAGCTAGGATTCCTTCAACCCTCCCAACTCCCCACCACCATCCCACTTTTTTTTTTAAGATCTTATTATGAGGTTCTTCAGAAGCCCTTGTTCATTTCAAGCATTTTCTCAAAAAAATCCAGAAAAATGTAACGAGTTTAATCTGACCTTATCTGGAGTTCAGATATTATAAAAAGGTGACAACAATATAAACAGCAATTTTTTTACGTTAGCCACCTTCAGATATATTTGCTGCTGAAGACCTCTTTGTGACCTTAACATAGCAAAATACTCACAGCAGGTGTTTATCTTAAAGTATGCCATTCTAACATACCACTTCCATCACAGTTAAGAAACTTACAATGAATTTTCCACTTGATATTTCCAACTGACTGTTGAACCAGCAGGATTGTTTAGACAACAGTGAAAGGAATCAGCATGTAAATCTCCCAGACCAAACACCTCTTCTTAACATTCATTATTGTGTTTCATTTTTTCAATTATGTAATTAATTTTTATCCTTGATCCTTAATCCTTTACAAGGGTTCAGGGATATACTGAATATATTATATTAGACAAGTGTTTGCATCACGTAACTTTCATGAAAAAATTCTGTAAGTACCCCAGTATTTCATGGTTATTTATGCTGATGGATTATGTTCGCTTTAACACTAACCTGGCCTTTTGTACCATAAGTTCCTTTTCTTTGGCTATGTCGTTGAGATCTTTTAGGTTTCTCTGTAAGGGTAGGATACCTGTATACTTCATAGTCTGCATATTATTAATATCACCCAAATAGTGCTCCAAGTTTTCCCTTTGAATTGAAACACACAATTAACAATGAAAACATAATGAGAAATTGAAAAGTTATGTGAAGTTTGTATGTCATCCACTTATGCATTTGTAGGTTAATTGTCTTCCGTTTTATTCTAGCAGAACTGTTACAAATATGACCAGTATAAATACAGAAAACAAATTAACATATTCTGTACAAGAAGTTTACATGCACGCACTTAAGCCAAGATTTTTAGGCTTGGCTATCTAACACTGAACATGTATACCCAGGTTTAATGCATTAATTATGTCTTTTTTTTTAAATGCCTGTGACCCCTAGGGTTTGCAAATACTAGTCTTCCTGAACAATAGTTTAAAGCTTTAAAGGGAACATTCTAAACTAGTTTAAAACATACTATATACAGCTGATCAGTTTGTGGGGCGAGCTAATCTCTTTTATCATTTTGGTCTGGTTAAACATGTAGGAAGAAGAGGTCTGAAGGTTTGGTTGGTTGTCTTTTTTAATTATTTTGGTGTATTTTGAGTTTCTCTGTTGATAATGGTAATACTGTCAGCATTTACTGGCATATGTGCTATGCAACTTCCCATATACATATATTAATAAGCATTATTTGAGCTTTTCATCATGCCTTATAACCCTATGCCAGGTCATTCAAGGGCAGAGATTAATAGTCTTGTCAAAGCAAGATGAACTGTGCTTTGATCTTTGTGAAGAGAGCAGCAACTACTTAAGGCCACATTCAAACCACCAAATTCCTTTTCATGCATGACCTCTGTTACATGTAGATTTTTTTCTTCAGGAATAAATGCACTGTACCACCTACTTGTAAAATCAACGCAGTACTAACCTACCATACCAATTCTGTGCTAATTGACTTCACACTGTGGTACAAAACTCTGTATATATTAAAAAAAACCACTTAAAATCCAACACTGATATTCTTCAGCAGACTTCTCTTTTTTCCAACAGCTCCTGATGTTCTACAAGTACAGAGGGATATGAACATGACACTACATACTATTACAAAGAGCTGGCTGGGTTTTAGAAGAAGTGTAAATTGGTCAGTGTCATGCTCCTTTGAGGAGAGTCAATTAGCCCACATTAATGTGGTGTAATCATTGTGTTATATGTACATGGCTACAATGGCTTCAGATTAACAAGTGTCCAGAGTCTGCCTTTATCTTACTCAGCTCATTGTTTTACCAATAGTAAACAATTCAATTTATTTTTGTGGAAAGGTCTATATTGCCTATGACTAATTTGAAAGAAATGCATAGTTGAATTAACCAAACCTTCTCTTGAAATGGTAAGTTAACATGATAAAGAAAATGACTGTTAGAACTGGTAACAAAACAAGAAGTTATTTACATGCTAGAATCAGATTTGTCTTGATCTCCTTCAGAAGCATCCGTGTCTCCCACCTTGCCACCACCAGCCAACTCTTCTTCAAGCTTGTATTCTAATAGATATTAAACCAACAGTTCAATAGAGACTTTGAACTTTAAAATGCAAAGCTCTAATATACTTGCTGTCAAGTCAAAACATGGAAAATCAGAGATGACATTTTATAGCATTACTGCAGCGTATTAAAAAAAAACATGGCAAAACACACAGGACTACTATTGTACACCTGCAAACCAAAACAGGAAATGCTCTCTGCCTTCATTATGGAAGTGTCACCAACAATCCAATGTATGTGGAAAAAAAAAAAACAAACCAGAAGCAGGGCGGGTCTAATATAGTGACAGGTTTTGGCCAACGGTTTGTTTATCTTACACTACCTTATCCTACTGCACTGTGAAGACAGAAAAACCTTTTTAAGTATTTACACGATCAAGAAAATGACAATAAGAATAGCCCAAGAACTCTTTTTAACATAAAGATCAACATTCAGCAGTACACCACACATGATAATCTGTAAAATGGTAGATATGTTGCCTCCCATAGTATCATGAAACATACTTTTGGCCACAATGACAGATATTGTCTGCCTATTAAGAGGTATCTGGTGCCAGTTTAAATGTCTTAGGCTATCCAACATCTTCAGAGAGTTGAATCTGTGGAAAACCTATGCCATTCTGGAGCCAGATGAAAGAGTCTAGAGCACTTCAAGTGGCACAAGATGCCAATGCATGAGCGGCTGAATCAAGTATATACGGTCAAATATTAGATTTTCACCATCAACAACTCTGAATCAAAATGGCTTATGGAGGTAAAAAGCAGAGAATTTACTGCTACAGAAATAATGGGTTAGATGTGGATTAGTTACAGCTGTGTAGTGTAATGCTAGAGAACACCTACCGGAATCATCGCATTTACTGGGAACATCATTCTACTCTAGAACTGTACTGTTCCAAATTATTAAATTAGAAGACATGTCAATGCTAGTTTTTTGTAAGTTATCAAAACAAGTTATCATTTTCACCTTCCCAGTGTTTTTTCACATTAGAGAACGGACCAGATTTGTCATCTTTTTCTTCCTCTTCCAGAAATCGTGGAAGAGATTTTTGTTCTTCTTCATTACTATAACTGATCTCGTTATCTTCCATACTGATAGTTCTTTCAAAACACCCGGGCTAAGAAAGAGAAGAGCACACATTTTATATATATAATCTCCAAGAACTTGCAATAGTGGTGACTATATCTAGCAATGAATTAACAGCATTCAGTAAATACTTAATGTATGTGAAATAACTGGATACAATCACATACCTTTGTACTAGTCACACATTTTGAGTATCAACTTTAATAAATCTCTTAGAGAAGAAAGGACACTGCCAAATTCTTTAATGCTTTTAATAACAATCAGTTCAAAAATAAAACAAACCTTATGAATGTATTTTATCCACTTTGGCAACCACTTTACTTAGAATAATTAGGGAACAACTCGAACAAACACTACTCACTCTTGTGTCTTACACAGTTCTTCCATGTTAAGTAAACTGTTCTCAAATGTTGATACAATTTATTAGAATTCAGTAAATTCTATAGGTAATCTAGAATGGGTTATTACCATATGGTTGAGCATTTCATCAAGATCTTACTCATACAGGAACTTTACATACGATTAATTTTAATGAAGATGGTGGCTTAGCTTTGAGTGCATTTATATAGATCCTTTTGCAGAACTCAGAAACATAAACTAGAAGAGACTATCTATATTCTCTAGTTAAGGAACTGAGAAAATTGGAATTTTAAGTGTGGAATAGACTAAGTGATAAGAACCACCTTAAAACCAAGACACAATTCATACACTGGGCTATGGTTCATTCAAGGATGCTAGTGGCATTAAAAAGTAACACAAAATGAACCAGTAGTAGCCCATGTCCTCGCTGCTAAGCCACTGCATTGTCAAGAAGTGCAACTCAAACTTAATGCAACAGAGCTTTGGGTAAGTTAGGCCAAGATCTACAGTGTGGCAAAAGGCCCAAAGGCCTTCTGTAAGGAATTCACGAGCCAGACAGCAAAAGCCCATTGCTTCCACGAGTCATCATGTTACAGAACGTCACACGGCACCTGCACCTCGCGTTGTCAAACGTCATCTCGGCACTGGATTCACGCCGTATCCCAGCAATACCACGCGTAACTACAGGGCACAGGGCACCACTGTGCCACCTG